TCTTGCTGGCCCCAGAGTTAGCTATTCATGCCTGGGCACTCCTGAACTCTGGCCACGCCTCACCATTGGCATTGTATCATTTGCAAAGGTTGGCTTTTGATTCTGTCACTCCTATTAGACTAATGGTGCCCATGAGGCAGGGACTGCACCCATTTGGCTCTGTTTCTCTCACACCTACCTGGTGCTTAGCACAAAACTATCTATGTGTATGTGTGTACATGCGTGTGTGTGTGAGTGTTTATATGTATGTTTTATATTAAAGCACGAACAAATAAAAGGGGTATGTGAGACCAGGTATGGTGGTGGCTCATGCCTATAATCCTAGCACTTTGGGAGGCTGAAGTGGGTGAATCACTTGAGCGCAGGAGTTCGAGACCAGTCTGGGCAATGTGACGAAACCCTGACTCTACTAAAAATACAAAAATTAGCCAGGCATGGTGGCACATGCCTGAATCCCAGCTACTCAGGAGGCTGAGGCAGGAGAATGGCTTGAACCCAGGAGGCAGAGACTTCAGTGAGCCGAGGTCACACCACTGCACTCCAGCCTGGGCAACAGGCTAAAAAAATTTAGCTGGGCGTGGTGGCTCACGCCTATAGTTCCAGCTACTTGAGGGGCTGAAGTGGGAGAATGGCTTAAACTTGGGAGGTCGAGGATGCAGTGAGCCAAGATCGAGCCAAGATCGCACCAAGATCGTGCACTCCAGCCTGGAAGACAAAGTGAGACCCTGTCTCAAAAAATAAACAAATAAATAAAGGAGGGAGGGCTATGTGAAAGTCAAGAGGCATAGGAGAAGGGAGTTTCACAAACCAGGAGAGAGCCCTGCTGCCTTGCCTATCATGTTCCTGCCTCCGGTATGTTATTTCCTACCTCCAGGCCTTTACACCTGCCATCCCCTCCGCCTGTAATACCTTTCTGTTTCTGTCATGTAGACAAATGGGACTCCGCTCAGACTTTGCTTCCTCCAGGAAGCCCTCCCTACTCCTACCCTGGCAAGGCTGGGCTGGGCCCCGCCTTGGTGTTCCCATTATGCACTGTGCATACATTTATTACAGCACCACCTGCAGGAAAATTAACCATTCCCCCCTCCCCCTGGTCAATCTCTCTTAAAGGGATGTAAGATGATTAATCGGGAGCGTCTCACCTGTCTGACAAGACTACGGCCCACCCCATACTGTGCCAGCATTCTCTAGAGGCCTGAGGTAGAGGGGATGATGACACAGAGTAGGCACCCACCCAGCCCCCTCTCTGCTCTCACCTCATGTGTCTGTGGATTCTCAACGATGCAGCCGTAGTTGAGGGACTGTGTCCTGTTAGCCTGAAAGACAGACACACCCGAGATAGTGACCTGCCTGCTCCAGGGCAGCCACGTCTGTTTTTCCTTTCTTTCCCTCCCCTACAGCACCTGGCATGCAGCTCTGCCACTGACAGGCCTTCAGCAAGGGTGGAAACTGACAGCTGCCCTCCCCCTCCCTACTTCTAAACAGCCAGAGGGCTCGGGGTCTCCACTAACACCTCCGTGCCTGCCAGAGCAGCGCATCTCCCTCCTGACACCAGCTCCCACACCAACGCCCAGGGCGCCCCTGCCTCCCCAACACCCTGAATTCCAGGAAGCTCTTGGGATCACCTCCTCTACACCCTTCAGTCCTCCTGACCCCCTCACCGTAGTGCCAAGGAGTAAGAAAGGGTGACGCTGGCGTCGGTGGGCTTCCAACATAGCACTCAAGGGGAAGTCGGAGCAGACATCAGCATTAAGCACGAAGAATGCCTCGGGGCTCCCAGCCAGGATCTGGTCTCGAAAATGGTAGAGACCACCCCCTGTGCCTAGGGGGGCAAATTCCTGCAGGTACCTGTCCCCAGGGACCCAAGAGCCAGCTCAGTGGATCTTAGGAAACAGATACCATGAGCCAGGGCACCTGACCCCCACCACCTGCTCCCAGGAGTACTCCTGCCCAAGGCCCACAGAGAAACTCTATATATTCAGGGATTCAGTGATGTCCAAATAAGAATCCTTCTACTAGGTGAGGATGAACTCTGGCAAATGCTGACTCAACCTACTCCCAAGAATTCAGAGGCCTAGGGCATCCTCCCCACCCCCATATATGAGTGTGTGCACAAACACCTGACTGGAAGGTTAAACTCCTGCTGGGCGGCTTCTAGGAACTGGGTGAGGGGCTCATCAGGTTGGTAGAAGCCAATGAGCAGAATCTCCTGCATCCCAGGGACCTGAGGAAAAGGGAAAGGCTGGGAGGAAGAATGTCTAACAGGAGGTGATGTTGGGGAAATCCTCAGGGCTGGCCCAAAGTCTAGAAACCAGTTTTAGTCTCAGCTGTGGGGTCCCAGGGCACTCACCACTCTGGGCTATTTTCTCCTCTGGACAATGAGGAAGTTGGAGGAAGTCGGAGGCCTGATCTTTTTTTGTTTTGTTTTTATGAAAAAAGGTCTCGCTCTGTTGCCCAGGCTGGAGTGCAGTGGCATGATTTTGGCTCACTACAGCCTCCACCTCCTGGGCTCAAGCGATCCTCCCACCTCAGCCTCTCAAGTTTCGAGGACTACAGCCATGTCACCACCTGCCTCAGCCTCTAGAGCAGATAGGACTACAGCCAGGCCACCACATCTAGCTAATTTTTAAACTTTTTGTAGAGAAGGGGTCTCTTGATGTTGCCAAGGCTAGGCTAGAACTCCTGGCCTCAAGCGATCCTCCCAACTTGGCCTCAAAAAGTGTTGGGATTACAGACATGCGCTACCATGCCAGGCCTGATCTTTCAATCAATTATTATTACCCCCACCAACCAGAACTGGGACTTACTGTAAGAAAGACTTTGCCTACCAAGCTGCATTAATCCATTCCCCGCCCCCCGCCCTCATTTTTATTATCTGTCAGCCTAAGCTTGAGATCAGCATGAGGTAAGGGTACCATGTATCAAGGGTCTGTGTTGTACTAGGCATTTTACAAATGTCATTTCTAAGCTTCACCACCCAACAAAGTAGGTCTAATCTCCCCCATTTTACACATAAGGAAACTGAGTGTCAGAGAGGGTGTGTTATTTGTTGCAGGCCTCACAGCAGGCAGAGACTGAATTCAAACCAAAACCTTGCCTGTCTCAATACGAAAAGCAATAAAGAAATGAGCATCACGGTGATCAAGGATATGAATTTGTGCCTGGTTATCATTAAGAGTCTCCATGCTACGGCTTTACATTGTCTCCAAGATCCTTGCCTGATCTCACATTCCATACTTTAAAAATAGGAGTGAAATCTGAGCAGGAAGAGGCCAGATGAGAAACTAGATTAGGGGAAGACAGCAGGGCAGCTGCACAGCATAACTTGAGGGGGCGCCATTCACATTGTCATCTGTGAATGATGGTCCTTGGAGTTATGCCTGGTGGGAAGAGATTATGGTTGGGAAAGGGGGAAACATAGCATGAAGATGAGCAGGAAGTGAGGGGAGACAGGGGAGTCCCTGAGGTTACCTGGGCACAGGCTTCAATATGATGTTGGATCATAGGGACCCCTGCCACAGGAAACAGTGGTTTGGGCACCTCAAAAGACAAAGGTCTGAAGCGAGTTCCTGGGAGAGGAAAGAGAACATTTCGGCTTCCTGCCTTCCTCTGCCCCCATTCCGCCTACCACACCAGCCCAACCTCCTCCCCCCATTCCCCTGGCACCTCACCCTTTTGAGGGCCTCCAATCAGGATCACCGCTTTGAGCATGATGGTGACTGCTACCTAAACTTCAAATCCCAACAGAGAAATCAAGCTCAGATCTCATACCCCAACCAAGCCCCAAAACCCAAATAGCAACACTTAACCCTCTCCCAAGATGTAAACCCAAAGCTCAATATAGTCTCTGCCTGGACCCAACACCTCACAAATCCCACACATCTCAAATCCCAGCGGAGAAATCAGGCTCAGATCTCACACCCCAACCAAACCCCAAACCCCAAATAGCAGCACTTAGCCCTCCCCCAAGATGTAAACCCAAAGCTCAATATAGTCCCTGCCTGGACAGAACCTCACAAATCCCACACATCTCAAATCCCAACCCAGATTCCAGTCGGCCTTCAAACCTCACAGTGATTCCTCCCAAATTCTGAAATTCACGCCCCACAATTTGATCTCTAAAAGACTTCGCTCTGGCCATGAACAAATTCTGCAAATTCAGAAACCTGGCAGAGACCCCCTTCTCAGACCCAAACCTCAAAATACTGAAGCCTCAAACTCACTGATTCCCAAAGTGTTGTGTCTTCATTCTAGATATTAAGCCCTGAATCCCAGTAGTGAACCCTGAATATTGAGCAGCAAATCCCGAGTGGGCCTCAGATATTTAATTTAAATCCTGAACGTAACCCCCAAGTACTGAACTAACACTGATCTGAATTTGGCGAACCCCTAATCCCAGGAAAATCCTCTATATGTTGAACATGAATCCTAAAACTAACCTCTATATATTGAACCCCAAATCAAAAGACAGGTTTCCTCGGCATTTCAAACACTGAACCTATTGACCCCCCTCCAGTCCTAATACGGATGACTGGCTGGGTCTAAATCTCTGGATTCGGAGGACTGCTTGATTGCTGACCCTCTGAACCCCACAACTGACTCTGTCCAATAAACCCTGGCCTCTCATGGCCAGGGATTGTGGGACCAACACAGGCGCGGGCGCACCCACGGCCAGCCAGGACCTTGGAGCCCGCCCTCTGTCTAGAGGCTGTCCCCTGCCCCTTACCCCTTCCGCCACCCCTCCACCAGCTCCCTTTACCACTAGCTCCCTTTACTCCAGCTCTGCCGCCCGCTACTGCAAGCTTCTTCCGCGCACGTGTCTTCTCGCAAGTCGCGAGAACTCATTCGCAGGTTCTGCCGGGAATTGTAGTCTGAACTTTTCACCGCTTTCAAAGTTAATGGGAGAGGAGAGCGGTGCTGAAGTCCGGGGGCGTGCCCAAGGTATCGAGGGGCGGGGTTAAATGAGAAGAAGGGTGGGGCCTGAGAAGCACAGCCTGGAACTTAAAGACTGGGACCAGAGCTGTCGGGGAATGGGCACCGCGGCAGCAGCCGAAGTGAGAAACTGGGTCCCAGAGGAAAATGGGACTAAGGACAGCAGGGGGGTGTGGCCAGCCCTGGAAGGGGCGGGGCCGGGGGCAAACAGCCACGAGGGGCTGGGGCTGGAGGCGCACAAAAGAGGAGAAGGCGGGGTCCTGGGCCCAGCCCCCGGTCCCGCTGGGAAGTGAGGGCACCTTGGACGGTGAGGGCAACTGTATCAGGTTGACTGTCTGAAATGCAGCACGGCGCTGGGCGCTCTCCAGACTTTCCTGTGACTCCAGCAGGCTGTGACCTTGGCGTGGGGGTGTGGAATACGTGTGGGCGCGGGTGCAGGGGAGAGGGAATGGCGACGTGGAAGAGCAGAACAGACGCGGAGGGTCAGAGAGCCGCTTTATTAAGCAAGCTAGAGGAAGGCTGTGGGTCCCACCACCCCCAGGCTCGGCGCCAGGGCGGAAGGTCCGGGGGTGTCGTTCAGGCTACGTCCACGCGAGCGAAGCTCTGGTCCATGCCCAGGCTGTTCTCCACGTACACCTCGTACTTGCCGCTGTCCTGGGGTACGGCCCGGCGAATGGTCAGCGTCGTGGTGGTGCTGCCGATCTCGAAGAACACCCTGCGGAGGGGTGGCGGGGAGGAGGGCGGAGCCGCGGTCAGTACAAGGGCGCACTAGGCCGGGCTCCTTAGCCAACTCTGTTCCTCGCCGCCCAGTCCCCGCCCCCGTCACTCCCGTCAGATTTCTGGGCTCAGTCCCACCCAAGTTCCAGCCCCAGGCCCTGCCCGTGCCGCAGGTCCCAGCCCTCGCCTGTCATCCTCCTCGATGTCCTCCCCGTCCTTGGTCCAGCCCACGTCGGGCGCAGGCTCTCCCAGGATCTCCGCAGTCAGCGTCACGGTGGCGCCTTTGCGCGCCTTAGTGTTGTCGGGTCCCTTTTGAATCTTCGCCGGGACTAGCGGAAGGAAAGGGGAGCGAAACCCCGTAAAGGACCTGGAGATGAGGCAGGGCATCACTTCCCCAGCTAATACCCGGCACTAAATACAGATGTATTTAAACTCGCAGCGTGACTTTTAGCAAATCATTAGCCTCTCTGGTTTCATCTCCTTGGCTGTTAAAGGGACTTATCCCTACCTCTCCTACTTCTCGGGGTCGAAAAGAGGATCAAGAGATAAGGCGGGCGGAAGCCCCTGAATGTTCACACATCTCAGAGATGTGTGAACCGCCTCAGAGACCGCTCTGGGTAGTGAAAATTGCCCAGAGTTGGGAGTCGGAAGACCCGTGTCCTACCCTGGTTCTGCCTCTGACTTGCTGTGTGACCTTGGGGACCTGGAGCCGCGTGATGGAAGCCCACAGAGGACTGCTTAGCCCGGGTAGGGCTGGATCCCGAGGTAGGGAAGGACGCACGTGGCTGGCGGCGGCGATGTGGCCAGGCCGTGCCCGGCGCTGGGCTGGCAGGGACCCTATAGCTAGGCCCAGAGGTAAACGCGCAGCTGGACCGGGCTGCGGGCTCTGGCTGGTCTGCGCCCTGGCGCTGCGCCCGGGGCGCGCGTACCTTCCACGAGGATGCGCGCCGAGTCGGAGCACTGGCCGAAGGGGTTGGTGACGTTGATGCTGTACTGGCCTAGGTCTGCCAGCTCGCCGTCGCGCACCACCAGTGCCACCACGTCAGGGTCCTCGAAGACGTAGCGGTACTTAGGCCCGTCACGTAGCTCCTTGCCGTCCTTACTCCAGCGGATGAATGGGTCCGGGAAAGCCGAAATGCGGCAAGTGAGCTTGGCCGCGCTGCCCTCAATCAGCACCACGTCCTTCAGCGGCTCCAGTACCCGCGGCGGCCCCTTCTCGCGCAGCTCCTTCCGGGACCTACCCCCGGGCCGAGTCAGGGTCCAGAGTTCCCAAGACAGGCCCGGCCGCAGCCCTTTCAGAGAGTGCACCATCTCCTGCCTGCCCCCTGGGCCCGCCAGACCGCTAAACGTGTGGCTTGGTAGGGAAGAGGACTGCTCCTGAACTGCTGCCCTGATAGGATGATGCATTCCTGCCGGCCACTCCTCCACATCTCAGTAAAGACCCTCCCCTAAAACCAGTCATTCTAGAGGCTGCTGAAGCCCCTCAGCCCTTCCCCAAAGCCCATTCAAGAATGCGCTCTCTGCAACTCCCTTCCTCCACAGAGCTCCGGGGTTCCCTCTTACCTGTGGCCTCGGTAAGAGGCCTGGATGCGAATGGCCGCACTCTGGACCTGTGGGTCATTGATGTCCAGGGTACATCCAGGAGGTGGGGCCGCAGCCACTGACTTTTTGGCAGGAGCTGCTTTAGACATCTGGAGAGTGGGCGACAAGTACGGGGGTCCAGGTTGAGACAGAGGGTCCCACCTTCAGCCCTTTTCCTCCATGGTCAGAACATTCAAGGGGGTGGAAGAATGGGAGTGTCTGCGGCTTCTCTGAGGATAGGACTTACTGTGGAGGGGTTGACCTAGGGACTTGAGTCGCCTGGCTGGATTGCAGGCAGCACAGAGCCCTTCTGGATGGCACAGTAGGGGTGCAGGCAGGGTGCTCAGCCCTGGGCTCGGTTTTATACATCGCTCCCCTCCTTGCCTTGTTTGGCGTGGTTGCCCCAAACCCCCCGGGACCCCATCCCCCTCCCTCTGACCCAAGCAGGCTCTTTATTTAGCCTGCGGCTGCCTGGGATGCTGGCTCAGCCGCTGGGCTAGGCCCGTGGGGGGAAACCCGAGCGGCTCTGGGGTGCACCTCGTGTCAGCACCTGGACAACTGGACAGCTGGATGCTGCCCTGTCCCCTCCCAGGGCAGGGGGTATCCATCCCACTCCCAGGAGGACCAGGTTCAGCCCCTAGCTGACAAGAGATCCAGCTTCCTACTGGGGCAGTTTTTCACTCAGGTTGGGCTCTGGATAGTCAGACAACACACCCTGTTGGTAAGGGGTTTGAGTGTTTCGGGGGTGTCCCTGAATAAAGCCAGAGTAGCAAGGGGCTTGGGCCTCAGGGCCCCTACAGCTAATGGCAACAGGGCCACGTGGCTGTCAAGACCAATCCAGAAGCTCCTTGCTCTTACCCTATCCCCAACCCCAGGAGTCCAGGGTTGTCACTTCCACACTGTGCCCCCTGGTGGTAAACTGAGATAAACCAGGAGGGGACGGGAAAGATTTTTTGAGAATAGCAGCCCCTCCATGCCATCCCTAGCCCTACTCACTCCCCTTGATGTCACATGGTAGGGGCTGTTTAGACTGCACTGTCCTTGGAGATTAGCACCACTAGTGGCTCCAACCCTAGGTCTGCCCAAGTCCTTTTTGGGGGCATAAATTGGTGCATCGGGGCATCAGACCACCTGGGGTGAAGGGGTTCAGTTAACCCCTCTGGGGCTTGCCTGGAGGCCACTCTGCCCAGGCTGGGCACCTGGCAGAAGCATTGCTTCCATTCATTGGAACTACCCGCCCTAGTGTGGGGGCACTGTCACCTTTTGATCAGAGCAATTTTGACATAGCTCTGCTGACATAAATTACCTTTGCTCCTCTGGGTTTGGAACAAGCAGTTCACATGCCATTTCCAATGGAGATGGGAAGGGAGCTCAAGATCAGAGGGGGTACGGCAGAGAAATTTTACCATTTATCAAGATACGAGTTCAGGCACCTCGTTTTTATACAAAACATTTGCAGTGTGTAGGGGATTGGAGATTCTCACAGGCAAACTGTATATCTTCATCGCTAAAATGACAGGTAGGCAAGGCGTTGTTCTGGTCCCTTCCAGCTGGCTTTAGCATCCTGTTATTTTATGATGATGAGGATTGCCTCTTCCCTGGGGTCCTGAGAAGCTAGAGAGGCTGGGCTGGGCTGGGCAAAAGGGTTGTCTGAGCTGGAGTCAAGGGGCCCTCAACCTCCGTCAGCAACACAGTGGTGTCAACTCTCTCTACCCTGGTCAGAAGCTTTGTTCCTTTTACTTTGCCAAGAACAGAATTTTGAAGGTGGGGATGAGGGGAGCATTTCCTCTGGAGGCAAGGAGATCTGGGTCCCCACCAACCCCCCAACCCCTCATCCCCAACCTCAGGGCAGGGCAGCTCAGTCCTAGGTCCCAGTGACCATTCTATGGCATTGCAAGGTTGTGGCTAGAATCGAGGTGCTTTAGCACCCAGCAGACCTCCTAACTTGCCATGCGGACAAGAAGGTCCAGGCTAGTGTGTCCCTTAGTCCTAGGAAAATGCTGGACACAGCAGACTAGAGCACTCCCATCTGGTGCTCTCCATGTGCTCTGATTTGTGCTGTGACATGGAGGGTGAGGGGCGTGGGCCTGTCCTAGTGTTTCTTTTTGAGATGGAGTCTTGCTCTATCACCCAGGCTGGAGTGCAGTCGTGCAGTCTTGGCTCATTGCAACCTCCACCTCCCAGGTTCAAGCAATTCTCCTGCCTCAGCCTCCTGAGTAGTTGGGACTACAGGCATGCGCCACCACACCTGACTAATTTTTGTATTTTTAGTAGAGATGGGATTTCGCCATGTTGGCCAGGCTGGTCTTGAACTCCTGACCTCAGGTGATCCAGCCACCTTAACCTCCTTGTCCTGGTTTCTTCTGCAGCTCCTCACACTACCTACTCTTGCCAACCATCAGGATGAAACCCACTCTGCTCCAGGGGTCAGGACCAGAACTGCTGCCTGTCTTCTGGGCAGAGTGAATGAGGCTGAGCCAGGATTGGGGTGAGGGCTGGCCTATTTCAGAGCCCAGCATCCCCCACGTTGTGATGAGGGAACATGTGACAAGAGGTGGCGGCTACCAGAGCCTGGTTGCAGGGGTTCAGTGGATCTGCCAGCATTCCAGAAACCGCAAGGGGAGAAGCAGACCAGTCTCCCCTCCCTCCAGGAATGAGGACAGGTGAGGGGCCAGGAGGGTCAGAGGAGGGGGTTGGAAGGACCCAAAGTGCTAGCTGGTATATCCTGGAATGTGTGTTGGGGAATGCCCAGAGAGGGCTAAATGCCCCTGTCCCGGACTCAACCCTTCCCAGCAATCTTCCCCTCCAGCCATCCCTCCCAACAGACACACAGGTTATGCTGCTTGCCATTTTTATTTCCTCGTGACAGACAGACAGACAGCTGGATGGCTGGGAGGGATGGTCAGGACAACATGGGCAGTAGGGATCGGATGGAAGGGGAAACTTCATAAAAGTCAATAAATAAATAAATATGAATGGGAAGAAGGCCAAAGGCCATGGAGGGGTGCTGGGGACATCCTTGGGCCAACAGAGAGCGCCCGGGGCTGTATCCACTGGACAGGAGGATACAGCAAGCTGAGTGACTGCTGGCCTCCGGCTCTCCATGTTTCTCCTCTAAGGGATGCTGACAGCTGGCCCACCCCACCTCCACCTGAGTCCTCTCTTCTCCCTCCACCGCCTCGCTGCCTTCTCTCACGTCCCAGCCCTGGGCCCTTGCCACTGTATCTGTGTCCTGCCCCTGCTTTGCCATACTGACTCCCAGCCTACTGCCCTGACACCCTGGGTTCCTTCCTCTTCCTCCTCTCCAGCCATGCCCATCTTCCTTGGTTCTCCCTGAGATGCACTGATCCCCAACCCAGAACCTTCCTAGAGCCTCCTCCTTCCTGTCCCTCGACTTCTTTTCCTCTCCACTTCCCCATTCCCCTCTTGTCCCTCTGCCTGTTCCCACCCTGCCCAGCCTGGCCAACGGGTCTCCCACTCTGGCTTTGGCCTGGGGTGGCATCAGGTCGAGGCCCTGGGGTCTCTGTCCTTGCAGGTCTATGAGGTAAGAGCCCGGCCAGATGCTGCTGCTGGTGGTAACCGAAGCCCCAGGCCCGCCTGGCTCAGCGTGGGCCCTGGAATGTCCCGTGGCATTGGTGGGAACCCCAGTTGAAGCCCGAGGCCTGGCTGTGGTCCGTGCCTCTAGGGGCCGCCAGGGTAGGAGCGCAGCAGCACCTTGTGGCGGGTGGCGGCCTCAGCCCGGCGCCGCCTCTGCTCACCCAGGAACTCCTTGAGCCGATTGGTGGTGAAGGTGAGCGTCTGGCGGCGCAGTTTCATCAGGTAGGCGTCCTGCAACCATGGGTGGGCCAAGCAGTCCTGCAGGGAGGGCCGGCTCCTGCCAGGCAGAGCCAGGGATAATGAGCCTGGAAGGATGGCTCTGGGAGTTGCCAGGGCTCTGTCCTCCTGCAGACCCATGTCCCAATCCTGCATCCACCCCTACATGTGTGATCTTGGGCAGCTCAAGAGCTCAGTTCCCCAATCTCTGGAATGGGGGCAGTGATTCCGCCTTGCATGGGGTTGTCGCAGGCTTTAAATGGTAGGTAGTATGACCATTTAGTAGAAGCAGCAGACTTCTTCCTAAGAGCAGGGGAGGAGCTGGGGAATCTCTGGCACAGGCCGGGCCGGGGGCAGGTGACACTGGGAGATGGCAGGTGTGGGGCTCACTCACCAGGGATGTACTGAGAGGACCTTTCGCAAGAAGAGGGTGGCGCTCTGGGATGTGTTGGGGTATAGCTGGAAGGCATCAAAGCGGCCCCCCACAATCCGAGCCTCCGTTTCCTGGGGGTCTGGCTCATAGAACGGGGAGCGTCCACTGAGCCTGTTGGGGAAGATTGACTGACATAGGCAGACTAGAGGCCAACACCCAGGCCCGGAAGGACATTAGTGTCGGGTGCACAGTGCTCAGGGCCATGCTGCTCTGTACCTGAGTGTGAGTGTGCAGTGTGATGTGTGTACAGGGGAGGTGAGGCATGGGGGAGAGAGTGTTGGCAGAAGGCGAGTCCAGGAGCTCACTGTGTGGGCAGAGAGGGCTGTGGCGGGTAGGGGACACTCACATAATGTAAGTGAGCACACCCGCTCCCCAGATGTCCGTGGCAGAGCCGATGGGTTCTCCCTTCACCATCTCCGGAGCTGACAGGAGACAGAGGCCAAGCTGACCCAGCTTCCTAGTGGCAGGGAAGTGGGGGCGGGGGAGGTCCCTGGGTGCTTGAGCAGCAGGACAATGCCCAGGTCACCAGACCATAGGAATGACCAAAGTGGCAGGCCCTGAAGCCCAGTAGGCAGGACAGAGGTGGTGGCATACCCCAAGAGACATATGGGACACCTGAGGAATTAGCCTGGGCACAAAATGGAGGGGGTCCCCAGAACTCCAGAGGGGCTGAGAAGCAGGGTGACAAGCTCCCTTGGATTAGCTCCAAGGTATGGCTCCCATTCACAAAGAGTGTGGCTGACACCAAGATTAAAAGCCTTCAAAATCAGCCTAGCTGGTTCTAATCCTAGACCTGCCCCTTCTAGCTATGGAACCCTGGGCCATTTACTAAACCTGCCTGGCTCTCCATAGCCTCGTCTGTAAAGTGTGGCCTGTAGAACCACACTAAGGAAGAGCAATCATGAACATCAAGCACTTAGCAGGTTACTCAATGGTAGCTGGTTCTCCTTATTTAAATAAAATAATAATTGATTCTCCTGTCTTTTTGGCTTTAGCGAATCCCGTCTCTAGCATTTATAATTGTCTGATTGCACAAATCCTTAACATCAGATGTACACCTCAGTTTCCTCATCTGTAAAAGGGGGCTAATATTGTGCCACACTCCAGGGTTATTGTAAAGATCAATTGGAAGAAAAATCCACATACTTCATTCATTGCTTGCATACAGTAATCACTCAATAAGTGGCACATATGTAAGTGAAGTGGGGTGAGCCCTGGCTGCTGCCTCTCTGGCAGTGCCCTGTCCCCACCCGGGCTGGCAGCTGCTCCCCTCACCCATGAACTCCAGCGTGCCCGTGCGGTGGCCAAGGGGCCGAAGGGCCTGGGGGTTGTAGGGCTGGGCACTGCCGAAGTCCACGATCTTGAGGGCGTTGTCAGGGGCCAACAGCAGGTTGTCTGGCTTGATGTCTAGGTGGAGCACATGGCGGCCGTGGAGGTAGTCCAGGCCTTGTAGCAGCTGCGCCACGTAAGTGGCCACGTCGTCCTCAGAATACCGGAACCTGGGAGAGCAGGGGTGGAGCGGATGACACCCGGCCCAGCCTCCCCTACCTCTTCCTCCCTACTCCCCCAGAATGCCCAGCTACCTGTCACTGAGCCCACAGAGGAGCTCCCGGTTGCCGCAGCTCTCAGCAATGAGCACGAGGTACCGAGGGGTGATGTAGGCCTCGTGCAGGGACATGATCCGCTCGTGGTGCAGGGTCCGCAGCACCTCGTACTCCTGCAGGACCTGCCGCTTGCCCTCAGCAGCATAGGGCACGATCTTGGCCACGAACGTTCGCCCCGTGGCGTTCTCCCGGCACGCTCGCACAACACCAAAGCGGCCCCTGTGTGTCGGGAGGGGGGGAGGGTCACCACAGGCTCAGAGGAGAGGAGGGGAACACTTCACAGTGAAGGCTAACGGAGGAGAGCAGGGACCCCTAGGGGCAAGAAGACAGCAGTTCCGGTGTGAGCTCCAGAGTTCAATCCTAGAAACCAGGCTTTGAGTCCCAGCTTTGCCACTCACTGGCTCTGTACCTTAGGTAAATCCCAGAACTTCTCTAACCTCAGTTTTGCCACCTGTGAAATGGGTGATGCTAACAGCACAGTGTCTCTCAGAGTTGCGAAGATTCGATGAGATCACATGGCTAAAGCCCGCAGTGTAGTCTGGCACATTTAAACTCAATGATGCTAATAACCCAGGTCTCAGCACCTCCCCTCACCCCAGCCAGTACAATCTGGTCTTCTCTCCGAAGCCATGCGCTCCAGACATTTGACCCACTCCCCTATGTCCTCTTCCCTTCCCCAGCCCTGCTTGCCTGGCTTTCTCCTCCAGGAAAGTGTAGGGTTTCTGAGGGGGGCCCTGTCGAAGAGTGGTACCCTCAGGCCTGGGAGAGCTTCGGGGACTGCTCCCAGGGGAGCTGACCACCTCCTTGGCCGGGCTGAGACTCTGCACAGTCACCTTGGTAGGCTCAGGAGGGGGCTCAGGGGCTGGGGGCTCAGGGGCTGGTGGTGCAGACACGAAGGAAGTCACCACATACACAGGAGTAGAGGAAGACGCTGGTTTAACCCCTTGAGGAGTGGAGGCTGGGGTCGGGGTCCCAGTGTCAAGGACGAAAGACTTGGGCTCACTTGGGGTGACCTGGGTACTGGGTGGGGTGGGCTCTGCTTGCCGGGCAGCCTGCAGGCCCCTGTGTCTTCGTGGAGGGGTCTGGGGTGGCGGACCCACAGCCTTGAGCAAGGACAAGGCCTGGCTGGGGGCTGTGGGGGGAGATGAGGGGCTGACAGTGACTGACGGGGGGGTGGGGGCAGCAGGAGCTGGGGGTGGGGCCAGTGAGGTAGGAGAGTCAGGAGGCGGGGCCCTGGCTGGCCCTGAGGTGACAGGGGCCTCTTGGTGGGCAGCAGATGGCACAGCTGAAGAATCTAAGAGACAAAGAAAATCATCACCACGGTGCCTTGGGGCAAGGCTATGGTGCTCCCCAAGAACCCTATGCTCAGGGCCCCCTTCCTCCCCCACCCCACACCATTGCACTGACCTTGAGTGCCCCTGACAAAGACCTTCTCAGAAGGGTTGCTGAAGGGCCCCTGCCCAGCACGGTTGGCACAGGCCACACGGAACCTCACAGTCATGCCAACTGGCAGGTGGCTCACATTGTAGTAACAGTCGGGGATGCCTGAACTCACAGGGTGCCACACAGACTCCCCTATAGGCAGTATGGGGGAGGGGCTGAGGTCACAGAAGGGATGACGCCAGCTCCCACAGTGCTATCTGTGGAGCCGGGGAGGGCACTGGCCTTCCCAGACTCCCCCTGCCGCTCCCCCCACCCTCCGGCTGCCCCATCCTCACCATCCACTCGCCGCTCCAGGGTATACGTGCAAGGTGCCCGGCTGTCTCCGGGCTTCCACAGCACCAGCGCCGTGTCCTGGTAGGTCTGGGGCACCTCTGGAGGAGCTAGCTTTCCTGGGACTCCTGGCAAGAGAAAGAAGAGTCCCAGAGAGCCCCTACACCCTAGCTAAGAGCCCCTCAAGCGCTGCCCCGCCATCCCCCTCACTACCCCCCTGGGGCCCTGCCCCAGGCTCACGGGCCACAGCCACGGTACAGGAGCTGGTGATGCTGCCCAGGACGTTCATGGCGGAGCACTCATAGAGCCCGGCGTGCCGCTTGCCCACCCGAGGGATGCTGAGCAGCTGCCGCCCGTCTTTGCAGGACACGATGATCACTGAGGGCTCTGACCTCAATGACTTCTTGTCTGGGGACAGGGAGAAGCAAGAGGAGCTGCTGAGTGAGCTAGCACATGTCCAGGCCCCCTCACTCACTCCCTACTCCAACATCCCCACAACCATGCTCAGCCCCGACCCTGGCCTAGCCCCTCCCATCCCCTGGGCTCAGGGCCACTTGCTGGCCTCCCTCTCTGTGGGAGGCAGTTTCCTTACCTTTCATCCAGGAGATGTGCGGTGCAGGGCAGGCTGCTGGCAGGCAGAGCAGGGTGGCTGCCTCCCCCTCCAGCAGCACCTGGTCCTTGAGTTTGATGTGGAAGACTGGGGGGAAGTCTGGAGGAAAAGCAGAGACAGCCATCTGTCTGTGGGGGCCCTGACCCACTTACCGCTGAGGGAGGGGTGGAGAAGGCCTGCAAACAGCCATCAGGAAGCAGCGTGAAACCTTGTCTCTTCCCAGGCAGATGTGGAAAGTGGAACCCCAGGCCATGCCTTCAAGAATTTTCTTTGGGGCGAGCATCACTTTCCCCAGGCCCTCACTGTGCTGGACTGCCTTTTCCTTGCACTGACTATTGACGATGCTACTTATGTCATGGGTTTGTAAATCACTGACAGCAGGGCCTGGCACTAATTAAGCGGTCTATAAGCATTTGTTAAATAAAATAAAAGCAAACAAATATTGAAAAATTATAATGGTTAAGATCCTGCAAGACCCACCCTCTCTGGGGCACAACAGGGCAAGTGAGAAAAGAATTGAGGTGAGTTAGTAACCTGAGCTGCGATGGGACCGAATGAGGAATGTTCTTTCAGAACATGCAGTCTCAAAAGAGTTGCAGTCTAGGAAAATGTGGGCAGATCCTGGAAGTGTGTCGGCCTCCAGGCCCCTCTTCCCACCTGCCATCCGGGGACAGGGTCGTAGGTCTCCTATATACTCCTTCAGGTCAATTAAGTGGTGAGAGCTTTTGAAGGGGCAAGAGACAGTATCTGCCTGACCTTGGGCAAGTCATTTACTCTCTCAGAAGCTCCATTTCTAATCTGTAAATCAAGGAAAATAATACCGCGCCCACAGGATTCTTGCTGTGACAATTACAAGGCATGTCAAGTGTCTGCCATACAGTAACTGATTATAAATACTAACTTTTCTTGTTGCTAGCATTATCTCAATAATATGGCCAGCAGAGAAGCCTGGAGCAGACGCCCAGAGAAAGGCTGTTTCAGCAAAGCAGAGAAATTGCCCTCACAGCCAGCTGGTGGCTGTGCACATGGTAGGGCTAGGGATGAGACCAGTTTTCCTTCCTCCAATGTAGCCAGCCTGTGACTCCTTAGTGCCCTGAGGATTTGAGTGCATGATCCCTGGGAATATCCCTTTAGAAGAATCCCAGTTCGGCCATGGGGGTGGTGGGTGAAGGGTGGGGATAGGGGAGGACTTGGGGGTGGATTTTATTCACCTGGGCAGAGAAAGCTGAGGAGCCTTGGGAGCCCCAGCTGCTGCCTGTCTGAAGAATTGTGGGGGACTGGGAGTGGGGATGAGCCAGGCAGGAGAGGAGTACTCAGCAGGAGTGGTGATCAGGATGGCAGTGTGCCCCCTTCCCGCTGTACCCCACTGCTCCCCAAGGAGGGGTCCCACACTGAGGCTCCAACAAGGCAATGTGAACACAGTTTCTCAATGGCTGCCTCCAGGCCAAGTGAGGGTACTGGGTAGCAGGGAGAGAGAGAGAGAGGCCACCTCTCTCAGAGGTGAAAGTGACCCAGGCCCAGCCCTGCCAGCCCCGCCAGCCCCACCCCCATTCCCAGGGGCCAGCCCTGGTTGTTAAAGTGGACTGGGACAGCCTTGTTTCTGCAGAGAACAGGGAGGGGATAAGGTAAGGGGACACTGCCTAGGCAGGAAATCAGCTGCATAAGCAAAACTGGGCCGGGAGGAGGCCCCAGGTGGGAAGGGATCAGCTGTCCCCAGGCCTCTCTGCTGGCTGATTGCTTTCTTTCCCCCTCATTTTCCACCCTCCCTTCCCCACCAGCGGCCCTTCCCTCCCTCTTTTTCTCTCACTGCAGCCCCCTTTGCCCTGGCCAAGGCTGGACACAATCCCTACAAGCCCAGCTGAGGCAAGACTCGACAGCAACTCCATTCTGAGTTTTATCAGGAAATGGGGGAAGAACAGGACTGGTGGCCTGTCAAGATCCTGCACATAGCCTGGCTTCACGGACTCTCTCCTTTCCTGCATGCTGCTCTGGAAAACCCAACCTCCCGAAGCCTTTGCTGGTCATCCTTGAGTAATGCGCCTTTTTCAGGCAGGATGGGGTGACCCCACGTGGGGAATGCCTCCCTATCTGGAGCTCCAGGACACTCAGGCAGAGAAACAGAAGAGGGCAAAGAGCTGGCAAAGAGCTCCGAAGGCTGCTTTTCTGTACAGAAGGGTCAGGGAGGGCCAGTCAGGTGTTCGGAGCTGCAGGGCAATGGAGACTTAGGGGGCACAATACAGGTCGTGGTCCTCTAGGCTGGAGAGAAAGTGAGTGTCTTTGGGTACACACCCAAGCACACACACATCTAAAGGGGAACTGTGGGGGCAGGAGGGCCCTATATCTTGAGCTCCTTGAAAAGTGCAGCCAGTTACAGAAACCTTCTAGGGTCTCCCAGGAGAGAGGAGGCCAGCCCCTGACAGACATAAGTATGGTGTCCTGAAGCCCCTTCCCAGACCTGGCTGCAGAAGGTCACACAGTTCAACTTCAGCTGCTCCACTTACTAGCCCTGCGACTTGGACAGATCCTTAGCATCACTAAGCCGGTTTCCTCACCTGTGCAATGGAGACAATACTAATATTTCCCAAGCAATGCTGCAGGATTGAATAAGGCAGCGCTTGTAAAGTGTTTAATAGAACACTTAGCTTCTCTAATGAATGACAGCTACTGCTATTGTTATAGTTGTCTGAGCAGACCCCTTCCACTAGGCTCGTCAGGGTGGCCCACCTCTCACCAGCCATGACAGCTCCCTGATATGGGTAGGGGATAGCAGGAGGGGAGGAGGGTCCTCACCCAGCAGGCCTCTATTACCTGACTCACTGCGCACGTACTGGTGACCCAACTCCTCTTGGATGCTGGCAGAGAGGTTTGGTTGCGATAACCCCTTGTCCTTCCGCTGCCGAGAGAAGCCCCAGCGGAGCCGGCTTCGGCTTTCCCCTGGGGCTGTGAAGACCCAGGCCCGTTAGCATTTGCTCAGTCGGTACCAGCAAGTTCACACCTCTCTGCAGCCCTCAGCCCAGAGAACCAGAAGGAACACCTAGCCCCACCCTGCCCTGCTGCCACTCCTGCTTTCCTCCCCTCCAGCCCTGCCGATTCCACCCTCGGGGCCTCAGCCTGCCCCTCGTGGGTGTCCCCAGCCCCTCTGCTCCTCCCACGGCCTCTCTCCAGCGCACCCCAGCCTCCTCTGCACCTGC